CTTTGAACTTTATGCCAAATGTGTCAGATAAACGAGTTTGAATTCTCAGTTGGATGTCCTAAATACACAGTATAAATAAAAGCTGATCAAAACCTTTTCATAACTGTTAAAAGGGTTATTATTGGGCCAGAAAAAAGTGTACCCCCTGCCTTGTGGTGACGGATGCTGTGTTTTACAGTGGAGAATTCATTTCTTAATGTTTGCAGCAATTTATGAAAGCTTTCAAAGTAATGACACACAGAATACCCTTTGAAAAATACAAGGAGATCCAGATTTTCTGAGTGCTAAAGTAGTCTTGGAAGTTACATTTACTTTGTATTGCCTCACTCTTTTGAGTAAACAGAAGGGAGGGGCAAAGGAGCCCCAGGTTTTCTTAAGTGATTCCACCCTTTGCAGGGAAAGCAACAGAACTGTTAAAGCATTCTCACAAATTGCAGGCCCTGTTCTCTCAAATGTCAGTTCCCAACACCCTGCCATGCTGGATTCCTAAAGAGAAACATGATATAAGTAGGATTACCTTTAAAAGAAAACATGAGGCTGGAGAGATGGCTCAGTGGTTAAGAACACTATCAGCTTTTTCAGAGGTTCTGAGTTCAGTTCCCAGCATGGTGGCTCACAACCATCTATATCCTCTACTGCCTCTTCACATGTAAGTGGGGCACTCAAATACATAAAATAAACAAATAAAATCTTAAAAACAAAAAATGAAAGCATGAAGGCAATGCAAACTTAACATGATGCCTTCTAAATCTACAACATTTTCTTTAAAAACAAAATGGGGGAAGTGGGCATTTCCGGTAAGAAAAAGCCTGAATGCTTGCCCACAACTGCCCACTCTGGAACTTTAAATGCCAGGCTCAATCTACATATAGAAAGCGATGGGGAGAAAACTCATTTTCTAAGTAAAATCAAGGACAGGCAGCCTAAGGACATTTATTCCCATAGCTGAGATTTTGACTCTCCTTGAAGAGCCAGAGGCCAGGACTGGCCACAGTGTTGATACCAAGGAGACACTGGGGAAGTGTAAAGATGGCCTAAGACGTCAAGGACTACAGGCTGCCTCCATTCAAAGCATCCTAGCCTGCACTAACGCCACACTGCAATGCTAGTGCACTCTGTGTGTGTGTGGATGTGTGTGTGGGGGGGTCTGTGTATATGTGTGTGGGGGGTGACTCCCGCACTTCCAAACCATAAGAGGAGACTTTTAAGACAGGGGCTTTTTCTTCTACCTATATGCTCCCACTTACCCAAGAACTGAGTTTCAAAAATATAAGAAAGCACTAACTAAATGAGTGCATGGCTATAGGAAAAAAAGTAAAATATATTATTACCCTAAATTGGGCTATTTAGAGAAAGTGATACTTCAGCTCATAACTTCTGGGCATTGCCTAATCTTGTATTTTATAAATTTATTTTGAAAAGGAAACACTTTTCCTGTGAAGGAGGGAAACTGTCTCTATATCACAAAACTATGTTCAATGAATCAGAGAAGGCAACTTAATATTTACGGGAAAACAAACATTAAATATGGTGTCTAAATGTACTTACATGTAACGTGTGCTGTGTACATGGATGATGCACACAGGTCATGTCACCGGTGAGGAGGGCAGAGAGCAACTAATAGAGAGTTGGTCCTTCCCTAGATATGTCTTAGAAGTTGAACTCAGGTTGCAGTCTTGGGGACAAATGGCTTTACCAGGTGAGCCACAACCCTACCCCTGAAAATATATTTTAAACTTATAAAGTAACATGAGATGGAATTCTAACTTCCCGCCCCTTTCATACCAGTCTTTTCATATTTCCTGGGTATGAAAATTCCCCATGACACACAGCTCTCATCTACAACATAACTGTCCTTTGTTTCAGCTAAGAGTTCCGCAGTTACAAGGGTTCAGGAATTAAAGGGTTATCAACCTGGCTGGGCATGGCCAGATGGTCAGTGGATGAAGGAAAGGTAGTAAATGTCTATTGTTGGGTCTGGGAGCTTTCCAGAGGTCATGACATGTTGCTGGAGGGATGGGCAAGGCCTTTAGAACCTTTGTTCAAGATGCAGCTATTCCTAGAACCTAAGAAAGTTGGACAAGTGATGCATGTCAGCTTCCCATAATTCTACCCTAGAGTTCTTGCATTTATACTTATACTCATTAATGTTTCATACAGAACATGTATTAGTTATGTAGGTATGTTCTACAGTCAGGTTAGGCCCCACAACAGTGAGCTTCACCATGTTAATTCACTGCCTGGTTCCTTCCCCACAGAGCCACTGTCATTCCCCATCTGGGTTTGGTGGTCAAGAGGTGGAGAACTGATGTCCAGCAATTGTGCAGGGCTCCTCACAAAAGAGCATGCTGCCCTGGTTCGTGTGTGCAGAGGTCACTCAGCAATCAAGAGAAATCTTGTGATACCTGGCAAGGTAGAACAGGACTGCCATGGTTCATAAATAAGTGAAAAGAACTCTAATTCAGGTGAGTCATCAGGCTTCCTGGAACTCCAGTGCCTCTAAAGAGATATTTGCCATGTCAAAAAAAAAAAAAAAAAAAAACAACTCTGAAAATGTTCTGGGTAGAAAATATCAGTGTTTCCCTTAGCGTAGGAATAGCTATTTCTCATTACCTGCTCATTTGAGAAGCCATTTTGATTCTTCTAATGTATATCAGGTTCATCACCAGTTAAAGATAAATATTCTAATATTGGTCTTCATTGTTAAAAAGAAATGAAAACAAGTGAATGAATCATTCTGAGGAGAATAGTACTATGAAGCTATACAGCCAAGAGTTTTTTGTTTTGTTTTGTTTTTAGTTTTTTTGCCTGAATTACATGTGAGTCAGTAAACTATGAAAATAAATAACAAGCTTATGGTAAATTGCTATTTAGAAAATACATGCAACTCCATAAAAAGTTGAACTGAATGTTGCTTAAGTTTCACTAAAACTAAAGGTTGATAATATAAAATTATCAGACACAGGACAAGCTTTCAGGATGGGCTCTGTGTTCCCTGACAGTTTCTCTAAAGAAAATCTGAGTGTTAACAAGGAAAATATTGAGAGTAGAAGAATTGAATGTTGCTAAAAGTAAGCTTCTATACAGGCTTTTGAGCTCAAAACTGTACTAAGAGATGCCCCCCTTTAAAGATATTTAAAAATTTTAAAATAACTTTGTTTAATTTATTTTTTAAAATAAATCTAAAAGGCCTAACTTTTGTTTTTGGTTATTGTTTTTTATTTTTACATTTTACATGATATTGTGTCTACACAGGTCCCTACTACCATCAACTCTTTGTTTGCTACCTCGGCTTTCCCCCTTTATTTCAAGGAAAGATCACTCTACTCTCCTAAACCATTTGACAAGTCCGTACATGTCTGTGTCATCTCATATTTGTGTACTTTCAAAACCCTCCAGAGTGTATAAAACTGAAGTAAAATGTGTTCTCTGTGTTTGAAGAAACCACTGTTGTATCATAGAACAGGCATCCTTCTCTTTGTAGATATTAATGAACATCGGCTGCCACTTTGAAAAATTGCATACAAAGTTCTAAAAAAAGAAAGGTTATGCAGAAAGGCTTATTTCCATTGAAGAAAGCCAGCTTGCCTCTCACAGACGTAAGTTCCAGAGAAATCAAACTCTCTCTTCATCCTTCACATGTTTGAATATGAAGAGTGAGTAGCACAAATGTCTCTCACTTCTTATAGGTTTCATGGCCAAGGGATAACTCGAAAAGAAAAGTACACCTGGAAAGTTACGCCTAAAGATAACTCAGGAAAACAAATTTCAAGGACATAAAAATATTGCACATTGTGTTTACATCAAGTTTTTCTACGCAGGGTACTTTTCAGGAAAGATGATTTTCCAAGCTAAAATTTACCACCACTGAAGCAGATTTCTTAATCAAATATATTATGTATGTGAAATAGTGATTTGACAATTTCCTTTAACCCAGTTGTATTTTCATTACTATCTTCTTAGTAGACTAGCTACAACAAGATGATCTGAAAATGGATTTAAATGGTGCTGGAAAATGCTGCAGGGAAAACAGCAGTTGGTCAACTCCCAGTGTGCATGAAGCTGAAGGAAGAGGGACTAGGTATAAACCAGTCAGTTCACTGGAGACTCAACCTGACAAACACATGGCTGCAGGCTCCACAAAATTGCTATAAATTATATAAGACAGGTAAAAGGCAAATTTTATGACATTTTTTAAAGGAAATTTGTGCCATGTCCATGTACAATTTCTGCTCAAATTGGAAACTTAATATCCCCACTTTCATTAGTCCTTTTAGAAAAGGACTAAGAGTGTATGGTCATATACAATGTTAAAAATGCTCAAGAACAAGAAGCCGGGAGTCATGGCACACATCCCTGATCCCAGCACTCTGGGAAGCAGGGGCAGGCAGATCTCTGTGAGTTCAAGGACAGCCTGGTCTACAAAGCAAGTCCAGGACAACCAAGGCTACACAGAAAAACCCTATCTCAAAAAACAAACAAAAATAAAGGAAGAAGAAAGAAAGAAAGAAGAGAAGGGAACTAGAAGAGGTAATCAGTTCATTTTCAGGCCCTCCCCCTTGTTTCATCCCTATGGTCCCAAGTCACACCAGGCGTGGGGAGACAGTGCTTTCACTTTGCATGGTTCTATAATAATCTGGAATGGGTACATAGTTCCAATGAGCATAAGTTTCAGCTTACCACACTATTTGTCTTTTCATTTTCATACACGTATGTTAGGAAATCAAGTCTTTAAGCATTTAGGGGGCAAACTTTGACCTAAGAAATCAACCATAATTAATTTAATGACTATGTTGACCTTTGTCAATTTGAGGATTATGGGAATTCAAAAGGTAACAATGAGAAAAGACAGACACAGTGGTACCCTGGGATTCTGCATTCAATGGACTGAACTCCCATCTAAACTATAACCATTAACCATAGTTTATGTAGCTATGGACTAGTACAGGCTGGAGATCAGGAAGCTGAACATTCTTAATGCCAGGTAGCTTAGTACCTACCTCAAAACCAGGGCTCACAGGAGACTGAAACATGATGTTGAAAGAGCAAAAGTAGGCAAAGGGGGAGAATAAAAGGAGAAAAAGACAGAAAAACAAAGTTACTAGAGAAAAGCAACACATATTAGTCGGTGCTGTGTAACACAGGCACACGCGTTACCAGACGGTGCCATGTGACACAGGCACACGTGTGACACAGGCACACACGTTACCAGACGGTGCCGTGTGACACAGACACACGTGTGACACAGGCACACGCGTTACCAGACGGTGCCGTGTGACACAGGCACACGCGTTATCAGACCAAAAGATAATGCTACTCTAGTCAGCTTTGTGGACACAACAATGTCCAACTGGAAAATGCTTTTAAAATATAAATGGAACAGGAGACACTAAGTCACAGATGAAAAACATTTTGAGATTGTTATTAGTGGTTTAAAAAAAATCTATAGTGATGAGGGATGGTTCTTGTACCTTGTTAAAAACAAATTAGAGTCAAATGAAGTATTTTTGACCTTTAACTCAAAGATTAGGTTTTCTTCACAATAACTTGCTCTCAATGTGAAATGGAGAAAAAGGTCATTAGAGCAATCAGACGTTGCCTAGCTGTTACTTGCCTACAGGCAAGAGTGAGCTAAGCATGTCACAGTCTATTTGGGGATGGCAAACCTGGGTGGCCACACGTAAGAGGCAAATACACACAGGGAAGAGATGGCTCGGGCACGCACAAGGTGGCTAACCACTGTCTGTAAATCCAGTTTCAGGGAGCCGATCCTGTTTCTCACTCGTGCTGATACAAGCAATGCAAGTGTACACAGGTATACATGCAAGCACAACACTCACACACAAAAAATAAGATTTTAAATTAAAAAAAAAAACACAACATGTTTTTGTTCGTTTTTTCCTCATTTTGTTGATTTATGATTTCACTAGAAGTTAAAATGTCATTTGAAAGTTAAAAACTATGCTTCAGTTTTAAAAGAAATGCTTCAAAGAAAAAAAATAAAATAATGCAGTAGAGATCACTTATTTCATAAGTTATACTGAATATATAGTTTTTCATCTTTTTTTTTAAATGAAAGATACAGGTTGTTATTCTATTTGATAACTAGAAACCAAACAAAAATGGACTAGGGTTAAAAATGTTCTTTAAAAACTGTAGCACTATCCTCTTTTATTAGGATTCCCTTCCTACTTGCTTGTATATTCAGAAAAGTCTTATTACCTGTTTTGAAATATCTCCATGTCTTGATCTGCTAATGCAGCCATTTACTCAGAGGCATTGGGAGCTGGGTGCAATTAGAGTGAGGTTTCACCAAAGTAACCTGGCATTCAGTGCTATCTGTGCAGTTTGTGAGCTGATGAGAGAAATCATTTGAACAAAGATGCAAACATGGCTTTTGAGTAAAAATCATGATTTTGTATGTAGGTGCTATTAAGGAACAGAAAAATCAAGTAAGTTTCCCAGTTTCCTAACAAAACAGTATCCTAGTCACCTACATATGTGGCATCCTGAACTCATAGTTTTCTTAACTACTGGTCCTGAGGCCCTTTCAGTCTGGTCTAACATCAGAGTTCATCCTTCAGATTATGGTGTGTGAAGATAGATTCGCCAAGATGCATTGTCAATAATTTATCATTTCCCAGAAGGTACTTTTCTCATAAGATACCCATGGGTTTTATGAAGGGAAAAATGTCATTCTATACTGGTTTAGTTTAAGAACACTGACTTAATTATTGCACTATTTATGCTTAGTAGCTACTATAACTTCCAATTCATGGATGCACCAAGAAGCATTTAACAATTTTACCTGATCAATATTGATTTTATTTGCAAATATTTTACATATGCTTACATGTGATCTGTATGCATGCTCATGTGTGTGTTAGCATGTGTATGTGTGTGAATGTGTGTACATATGTACATTAGTGTATGCATGCATGCAAAGGTCAGATATCAACTTTGGGTGTCTTCCTGAATTACTTTCCACTTTATAGTTTGAGGAAGATTCTTTCACTAGAACTCACATCTTGAAAACTCTGTCTTTGCCTGCTGAGCAATGAGATTATAGGTGGTCCTATAACATGATTATAGATTATGCCCATCTAGTTTTAATGTGGGTACTGGGTATCTTAATTCTGGTTCCCATGTTGTAAGTGACTTATTCACTGAGCCATCTCAACATCATTCAGTAGTTTGCAGAAATTCTGCTAAATAACTTTTCTAGAAAATATATTGATGACGCTATCTTTTATCCTGTTGACTTGGAATCATCACGGAGAAAGAAAGAAACTATTATATTGCACCTTCCACATATATGCATTATAGTTTAAAGTTTCTTTTGCTTTGGCTTGTTTAAAAAAGGATCATGTGAATTATATTGTTGTGTTTCTGGCAAAAGCTACTATAGAAAACAATGTCGATCACAAAAATAAATACCATGAATCTCAGCATGCTACAGCAATTAGTTTTTAATATTTTATCTAAAGAGTGTACTTCTTGTTAAGGAATAATGGAAGCTTTCTAACCCTGTTTCTAAACATATTTTAAGTTAATTAAAGAAATCTCAAATTTTAATCAATAATAATTCTAATATAGCATTTTAACCCATCCTTAAATGACCTGTAAAAATATCTCCAGTGACTTTCTACTTGGGTAGCTATAACATACATTTTCATCTGTGGTTCTCAATCTGCAGGTCATGACCCTTTTGGGGGTCACATATCAGATTTCCTGCATATCAAATGCTTATATTAAAATTTGTAATGGTAGCAAAATTACAGTTATAAAGAAGCAACAAAATAATTTTATGGTTGGGGATCACCACAATGTAAGAAACTGTATGAAAGGGTGGCAGTACTAGGAAGGCTGAAAACCACTGATTTGGGTAATTTTAGAGTTGTAATTTATAAGTAAGGGATATTAAGTTTTAGGTGTAAATCATGATAAGGTTTTGTAATATACACATGGAACTTCTTTCCAGATAATACACTGAATTTTTATAGTCTCCTAGATAATTCCTCCTAGCTGGGAGGAAACATTATTATCCTGTTTTTTCAACATAAATTGGATTTGCCTCAACAGACACTCATATCCTGAACTCCTAAGTATAGGCTCGTTGGTATCTGACTTCTTGTTTGAGATAGGGGTCTTACTCTGCTATCCATACCGATCATAAAATCTTATGTTCAATCATTGCATTTTTCCTGAGTCTCCTAATCTGGAAATATAGGCATGAACTACCACCCTGTGCTTGATTTCTTTATTTAAATATTGATTTGTGACATTCACCTGTGTTGTTGAATGAATAGTAATTCCTTAATTACACACTATATATAGACATAACCTACTGAGTTATGTTGCTTTTATGTACATGGGGGGTTTTTTTGTTTGTTTGTTTTTGTTTTTGCTGGAAGCTGTATTCATGAAATCTTAAAAATACATTTGTCTAAACAAGACCTGCATTATGACAATGCCAGGTGACATGTCAATGTGGATGGAGGACAGCTCATAAGGTTCTTCTCCTGAAATCAATGGCTTCTGAAAGAGAGTCGGCTTTCTTCATTGATAAATTACACCACTCCAAATGAAACGGGCTCTTGATTTGAATAATGCCCAGTTTCTTGATTCATATCTTTTTCCTCAGTGATTTAAGTTTTATCAACAAAAATTTTCTATTTCAAGTATCCTTATTTAGAATTCTTTGTTATTTTCTAGAAAATCACAGTGTTCCTGGAATTTATTTACATATGGTTTGAAGCAGGGTTCACATATTTCCCAGGTTAGACATGATGGACACGGCCTTATTCACAGTACTTAAGAGACAGAGACAGGAAGATCTCTGTGACTTCCAGGCCAGTCCTGTCTACCTGATGAGTTCAAGGATTGAACTCATAACGACACAGGGTACATAGTAAGAGCCTGTATTGAAAAAGAATTCCCATTTTCCATACAGATATCCAATGAATCGAGGAAACATACTCAAAAGTTTATATTACTTCTTAGTAGTTCTACTCCACATCTAACACAATTGGCCTAACTGTGAGCACAGCTTCTGTTCCCATTGTAATTTTCTCTGTATATTAAGATAATAATATCTTAAAGTGTATATTTAACACAATCTTATATTCAATGTGCTTTCATGCCCAGCAACTCTCCAGTTTTATTTTTTATCAGCAATTCTTGATAGTGATACCACTGACCTTTGGGGCCGGACACCTTCCATACTGAAAAATCCCTGCATGTTGACCTCTCTGAGACTGGTACTTCAAGTCCTAATTGCCTTGGTAGTTCATTGATACCTTCAAATATTGGTTTTCTCCTTTCTTTCACATTTTATTTAGTGTTTACAATCGTTCCCTTTGGGAAAACTGATTTGATACAAGTTCCTCCTCCATATTTGAGGATAAAAGAAAGGGTTGTGAAATTTTTAGCTAAGGGTAGGCCTTGTGTAGCTTTGTTCCCACTAACTTTAACTGATAAATAAAAAGATGAGCAAAATGTATAGAAATATAATCTGTATACTTATCTTAATGGACATGAAAGTGTATCTTACCTAAGGGTCTTTTAGTTTTGCTTTTCATTGTTTCTATTAATACTATTAATGGTTTCCAAAAACTGCATCCTTGCGCAGTTACTTGTTCTATCATTAGCTCACTACATTGTGCTGTCTTAGAAGATGGGGGCTTTAGGTAGGACATAATGAATGCAGTTTCCTGCCAACACAACTGACTCACAAAGCTTCAATATAACACGTGTTATTTTATCTTTTCTATTGTAGCAGGACTATATAGGTCTGAGGTTCAATTTATGTGCCTAAATTGGATAAATTAGTACAATACAATGTCTTACTGTGTATGCAAATTAGCAACCCTGTAGTCAAAATAGGCAGTTATGACACAAAAAATTCTGTTTAAGTTTTGAAAAAAAAAATTGCACACATCATCAAAGACATAAAGAGCAGACATTCTGGAGGAAGTAAGGGTAGTATCTTTGCAAAGATAATCATCCTCAGAAATAGATTGGTTTTCATTAGAAATAGCACTAAAAGGTATTATTTCCATGATACCATCTCTTGTTAGGATTCATTTTGCCTGAGGAGAGACATATCTGCCATGGTCCAAGTGTGCCTGACTAGAGGAGGCTGAGTTAGCCCCCACCTACACTAGCCTAGATGAAAAACCCAACTGAGAGGTGCATGTCCACCAAATGTGGACAGATGTTGCCTAATGTCTGAGAGTCTAGATGAAAGACATTCAGGCATTCCTTTGCGTTCTCTGGATTACAAGGCGTATAAGAGATGACTCGGACAGCCAACGTGTTGAGTATGTCACAAACACTGTTTCTAGGGAATTTCTAATTATACATCACCTGGAGAACAGTTTATACAAGGTTATGGAAGATTATTTTTGCAATTTTTTTTTCAGTGTCTTTGGGGCCCTAAGTTTTCTTTTTTAACTAATATTTTAATTTTTGAGGCCCTGATTGTCTTAGAAATCACTACAATCTTCTTTGATCACAATTTCATGAGTAATCTTTGTTAGCCTGCTTCTGGTTGCCTAGTAACCTATGACGTCATCATGTGCCTCCCACCAGGTGTGCGGCAGGAGCACTTCAGCTGTGCAAGCACAGCTATAAAAGGACCAACCCACCACTGTCTTACTCTTTTACTTTCCTCTGTTACTCTTGTCTCTTGCTCTCTCTGCCTTGCTTTCTTTCCTGGGGACCCCTACCATGTCTTTCTCTTTCCTTTTCCTCATAGCCAAACTTTGGGCAGAATGCAGGGAATCTTATGTAAGAAGTAGGAGATAGTAAGACCTAGAGGGGACAGGAGCTCCACAAGGAGACCAACAGATCCAAAAAGTTTGGTTGGTTTTTGCAGAGACAGATATTTCAACCAAGGACCATACATGGAGATAACCTAGAACCCCTGAAAAAGATGTAGCCCATGGCAGCTCAGTCTCTAAGTGGGTTCCCTAGTAAGAGGAACAGGTACTGCCTCTGAAATGAATGCAGTGGCTGGCTCTTTGATCACCTCTCCCTGGAGTGGGGGGAAAGGGGGAGAGGAAGCCTTACCAGGCCACAGAGAGGGACAATACAGCCAGTCCTGATGAGACCAGATAGGCTAAGGTCAGATAGAAGGGAGAAGTTCTTCCCCTATCAGTGGACTAGGGGAGGGGCATATAGGAGAAGAGGGTGGTAAGGTGAGACTGGGGGGAGATGAGGGAGAGGGCCACAGCTGGGATACAAAGTGAATAAATTATAATAAATAAAGAATGAAAAAAAGAAAAAAACTTTGGTGTTTTCATAAAGGCAAATTTCAAATTTTAGCTCAGAAGAAATATTCAATATGCTACAAGTACTTGAGTACTCTGCAGAGGAGACCATCTTTTGCAACATTAACACATTTGTTCACGCTGCTTAGGCCTTATGACCATGATGAAGCCTCACATATTTTTCAGTTTCACAAAGCTCAGGGAAGACAGCAAAAGCAAAGCTGTTTTCATGATGCACTGACCAACCCACAACAGGGAACCAGTGGAAACAGAGCCATTAGCAAGCGGGCTGTGCCTCCCGGCAAGATCTCCTGGCCTACAGCAGTAACACATCATCCCCCAGGTCTCTCAGGCAAGTGTGGAATGGAGAAATGGCATAGGAGGCTCATACCAGCAGAGGCTCGTCAGGGGCACTGCTGGAGAACTCTGCAGAGGATGTGCGCACGGTGCTGAGCCCTGTGAGGGAAACGTTTGAGAGCCGCCTTCTCCTCACGCCGCTGCAGTTGTTAGGGATCTTAAAGGCACATCTCTTGTGGTAATTCAGACCACATCCTGAAAAACAGACATAAAAATAGCTCTCATTTCACCAGAAATTAAATGTATTCCATCATTACTTATAAATTGAAAATTTGAAAACATAGCATGACATCAATTTGTCTTGATGCTACTTGGAAATACAAATTTTCTTGTCTGTTTTCTTTGATTCTTTTGCTCTTTATTTGAACATGGGTTTCAGATTCTTATTTTGTGATAAAAATTCAGCAACTTCCCTGGTTGTGTTTATATATATACAAATATATATGTATATATACACATTTATATGTATATGCATATATTTGATATTCTGAATAATGAAGTTGGGTTTAAAGAGATCTACACATATATTTATAAGCAGATTAAAGTATTTTTAGCTGCTCCAGCTTTAAATGTGTGTGGGCCCATGGAAAAAGTATTCACAGAACATTGTAAGTCCTGGGCAACACTGATCTTCAGCTTGTCTCTGTAACTTACATGTACACATGCCCATTAACAAATTATTTTACCTCAAATCCCCAGTCTGCAAAATGGAGATAAAATATATGCTCCACAGAATAAATATGATATAAGGTATATACACTTGTTGGTTTCCAGGCAGAAAAAAGTTTGGAAGCAAATTTCCCACTTTGGGAAGTTTTATTTTCTTCCAATATTGTCAGGAGCCATGACTCAAGTGGCCTGCTTTGATATTTAAATCTTGGTGGAGAGATGGCTTTTAGGAGGCCTTTACTAATGGCAGAGAAGAGCTTGCAAGTCCATCTCCTTTTGTTTGTGACAGCAGGTGGGATAGCTTGTGAGGGTCACACCTCTTCCTCAAGCTCCTTGTGCAAATTAACCTATTGTTCTGAGATATTTTACTGGCTAAAAGTAACTCCTCACAAATAAAGAGGTCAGAAGGCTGGAGGCAGAGGAGGAGGCAGAGACTTGCTGCTTACTGCAGCAGCCTGCCTTTTGCTGTGGCTGTCGAGTCTGGACCTTTAAAAAAGTCTCCTGTGTGCTGTGTGTTTATTTTATTAATATTAATCCTCACTCCCGACTCAAGAACCGTTCGACTCTGCTAGCTGGCTCCAGCACAATATTTATGCTTATGTATCTTTTTCACTAGTGGCACCTGATACTCAAAATGTCCCTATGTGTCACAAAATAGGTCAGACAAATTTTTACAAAATGTACAGTACAGTTCTGCCACCCAGATATGTAGAGCTTCATGAAGTTATGGCCCTGGGTTCGGTTGCCCCTGAGAGCAAAATAAGATGTGTTCACTTTTTTCTGGGCATGTAGAATGCAAAAGTTATGAGATCACAGAAGTTTCTAACAGGATTTAAAGGAAATGCCTGGGAAGATAGATACTATGGCAGTTAAGAAGCACTGTAGGTATGAAAGGACAGTGCGAGAGATGACAAAGACACAGTGCAGACCCAGGGATTTGGAGATGTCATGAAGTGAGTTGTTTGCTGAGGAAAGATGGTCATCGTGCAGAGCCAGCTTGAGAGAGAGCATCTGAGCTACAACCCGCAAGGCCATTGGGGCAGCGCGGCCTAAGCCAGTTAGCGATCATTCCATGTCAGTACCCAGACGAGATGCTGGGTATGAAGCTACAAGACTTGATATTTGCTCTTCTGGGTTTTGATCTTGTTTGGTATAGTGATTCCTTTCGGTACATTACAGCATCCTTTTGAATTTGAATGCGTACCCTGTTTCATCGAATATTGGAAGTATGTAGCAAACAGACAACAAACAAACAAGTTACCTCAGTTTACAGTGGCTCAGATGAGACTTGGATTTGGAATTTTGGCTGATGCTGGCAGTGTGAAGCTATGGCGTGGCGGCCTCAATACATTTTTGCATTATGAGACTGACATGCACATTTTGGGCATTTTGAGACCGTGTCTAACAGTATTCCATTTGGAATGCCCACTGAATGCTTCAGTGTTGGAGACTTTGCCCAGAGGGCAGAATATTGGAAGGTATAGGGATGTTAGGAGAAGAAATTAGTTGGAGAAGTCTGTGTACATGCCTGCAAAGCATGTTTGTCTCCAATGTCACTCAGGTGAGTGATTCTGCTCAGCTGTGCATTCCTTGCTCTGATGTTCTTCCTCATTTTAGACAATGGAGCCAAGTGACCATGGGCTTAAAATTCTGACACCATAAGCCAAACCAAATCTTCGCTCCTTTAAGTGAAGTTCCCCCAAGCGTTTGTCAGTGTGAAAGAAATCTACTCAAAACAATCCACCTTAAGCATGGTTTCTTCTAGATTGTTCCCTCTGAATGTCTATTCCGCTGGTAAGAATTAAACAGTTATGGTAAGATTATTTACAGATTGTATTCCAAAAGGGCAATCATAGTCACACATCAAAGCATGCCATCTTCCCCAACAGAAAATACAGGGAGGTATGCATGCGGCTTTCGGGCTAGATGGTATGGTTCTTGTGTTTGCCCATTCAGCATTGGAAAGATCTTGGATGGTTTGATTAACCATCTGAATCTCTGCTCTTTTAAAAGCTTATTATTCCAATTTCTGACTTAAATAAGACCGAAATGTTAGTTTTAATTCCTTGCTAAAAATATCCCATGCACTAAAGTGGGGGATACTTCTTCTATTTGAGAAAAGAGGTGAGAATTAGGCTTGCATATGAGGTAAAGAATGTCAAAGACAAGAACCTTCAGAAGTGAACAAAACATTCCATAAATGGTGGCAAAGACATGATGACTAGAGGATGCTTGTGAGAGAGGACAGTGTCTTGGAAGTCACACAGAAGCAGCAGCTTCAGCTCACATTAAGTGCGGTTGGGGCAGAAAACAACTCACCTTCACATTTAAGGCCTTGGCGCACCAGCCCCCACAGCATTTCTCCACAGTGATCACAGAATGCGGGGGCTCTGTATGAATGAACGAAGAGAGCATGGGGCCGGATCTGGAAGTCTTCAAAGGTGGCTGACGCTGCAGAAACAGCATGTTGAAAAAGTTGAATAAGAATTCTGATCCGTAAATAAGCATGCCAGGTAATGGGAGTGAGTAGGGAGGTAACTCTGCAAATGTTAGGAAAACCAGGCGAGTGTAGTGGTGTGCATCTGTGACCAGCTTGTGGGGGTGGAGGCAAGAGCATCCAAGGCCAGCCTTTGGTACAGGGTGTGTGCAGGACTAGCTTAGGCTAAATGTAAGGCCTTAACACTTTACAAATCATAAGAAAATGCAATGTAGCATGGTTTGTACTGTGAACCAGCAGGCGTTGTTCTGAAATACAACCTGATGCTTGTTGGCAGAGCTTCCTATTGCTTCTCCTTTTCTGCACTGAAATCTTTCACATTATTTCAATAACAATGAAATGCTAAAAGGAAGGGCAAACAGCACAATACACACTCTACTTCATGCATACCTGCTATAAGTTGAAAGTATTTTGCTTTTCACCCCTTGTGAGGAGCTGGTGACTGTTGGTAGCTTCTGGAAGAGGGAGAGACAGTTTCCTCTAAGAGTGTGGTCACTGGATGGCTGACCATGCTCCTTCCAGAGGATGGCTCACACCCATGAAATTATGGGGACCACAAATTGGACTCAGAAGTCATAAGGCTGGGAAGGGATGGGGAGGTTCGGGTAAATCTGGTAGGTACCGGGGAGTGGAACGGGAGAGGAATATACTCAGAATACATAGCATGCTTCTATAAAATTCTCAAAAAACTAATAAAAGCATTTTAGTAAAAGAATTTTGCTTTTCCCCTAAGGTATCCAAATGTAAAATTAAAAACTGACAGTTTGAATTGAGATCTGCAAACAGTGTTAACAGATGTAGAAGAACACTGTGAAGAGGAACATTAAAGCAGAAGAGTACAATTGGATAGGTAAGTCTAACCACCCTCTTAATGATGTTTTAACACATGTAAAATAAAACCAAACATTACAAATGTGACTTCTCTTGTATACTGAGCTGCCATTGGCTACATCTGAGCAGGTATAAGAGGTTATCTCCATGAATGATCCTTGGTTGGAGTATCAGTCTCAGAAAAGACCCCTGTGCCCAGATTTTTTGGTTCTGTTGCTCTCCTTGCGGAGCTCCTGTCTTCTCTGGGTCTTACTATCTCCCCCTTCTTTCATAAGATTCCCTGCACTCTGCCCAAACTTCGGTTATGAGTCTCACCATCTGCTTGATACACAGTTCAGTATCCAAGTGTGTTCCCTAGTAAGGGGAACAGGGACTGTGTCTAATAAGAACACAGTGGCTAGCTCTTTGATCACCTCCCTCCGAGGGGGGAGCAGCCTTGCTAGGCCACAGAAGAAGACAATACAGCCAGTCCTGATGAGACAGTGTAGGCTAGGGTCAGATGAAAGGGAAGGTGGACTTCCCCTATCAGTGGACTTAAGAGAGGAGCATGGGGGGAGATGAGGGAGGGAATGAGAGAGGGGGCTACAGCTGGGATACAAGGTGAATAAACTGTAATTAATATAAAAAGATTTTTAAAAGTGTGACATCTCAAATAACCCTAAAGCTTCTTCGTGAACATTAACGGTAGAGGAGTTAATCACAGACCAGCCATGGTCTCCTCTGAGAAGGACACCAACAAACTAGTTTCATAACATAGGGCACTTTGTTATTTTCTAAGTATCACCTAGTCTACGATATACTCACAAAGGCAACTGGTGTACAGGATTTCAGTTATACTTTTCTATGTATATTTTTATATTATAAAAGTTGCCCATGTTTCTGTTGCTGCTCAAAGCAAGAACTGCTCAAGAAAGACTGGGCACAGTAGCATCCTTCAGGCTTCTCTGCACTTGTAAGCTCATGTTCACTCTTGTTTGTAAGGCAGGTAGTACTCTCCTGGCAGTTGAACCACTGACATCACCCGCAAGATGGCCTGTGAACCTCAGCATCGCCCTCCTGAGAGGAGAAGGGCTGCCTGATAATGGTATTCTCTAGGCCCTTAAAACCGGAACCTCCACTAAAACCAGAAGACAACCCTGGACACTCGATTCCTTGTGTTATATTCCTTGTAAATTATGGAGAAAATTTGCTGCAAATATTATTAACAATGTTTTTTTAAGTCAATCAGTAAAAAAAATGTGGTTATGATTTGGTTACCTCTCGTACATACTATGGTTGGGTTAAAACGTATCTAATTCAGAAAATGCTAAATTCTCCTTAAAATTGATCTCTTGTACTCATGAGCAATTTTCCCCAAGACCATTAAAGAAAACACTTGAATACATTTTGCCAATCATTCACCCCTAGTCCCCTTCACTCTCAAATCCACCCTCCCCAGGACCAAACAACCATGACAACACTATGACAGTAATTAGTTGAATAATTGTTATAGTTTTCAAAATACGAAACACTAGAATTTGACAATACAAATAGCAAGCTGTGTTAAGACATTTTAGGAATTAATCAGGAAGAATATAAATAATTAAACTAAAGACTTTCAATGGCACCTCCTCCTCTAATTTATGTCAGGTAAATTTGTGGGTGTTTTTTTTTTTTTTTGTTTTTTTTGGTTTTTGAAGGGGATTAACATTCATAAGCAGTTAGCACCCTTGACTTATGTTTAAATGCCACATTACTAAAGTTCAATTTTAATATTCTCCTGTTAATTTTAGAATAATTAAATACATTTTTAAAATAAAACTACTAAGCATGGTGAGGTTTTTGCATCCATTTGAAATCAAAGCACAACATCCATTCATTATGAATTTACCTGTTCTGCACCCTGGGGGAAATCAGCACTAGCTGAGTATATGCATGCAGGCTTGCCTAATCACAAAATCGCACTTCAGAGATAATCATTTAGCACAGGCAAACAAAGTGAAGGCTGCAATTCCATTTCATTTAAGTTTTGGAATCAAAATGGACAGATAAGAATAGGAATATTAGCATGTCTAGAGATTCCAAGAAGGGAACAATGAGCCTGTCATAATCAATCAGCCGACCTAAATTAAAACGATATGACAGGGAAACAAACTGAACACAATAGGCCCTCATACTGGTATTTGTGTCTCTTTGATTTGCTCTATTCACAGTCTATTGTTACAATCCAGCATGCAAGAGAGGAGAAAATGACATGCTTTCCTTAGTCACTGAACATTTGAAACAGGTAATTGAGCCAAAAATCTTAATATAATCAGTAGTTCTTTACAGGTTTATTATAAATTGTTGGACAAAATGGACTAAACTGGTTAGCAGTACAGAAGAAATGAGGCTTCTAAAGCAAAATAAATCATCTCCGGAGGTCAAAACTATTTGCATAATAAAGTAAAACAATGTCAGATCTTCCAAGATTTTCAGTAATTTTTTTAACAGCTATTTTGGCAGTTTGGGAGGAGCATTAACTCTTTGCAGCCATGACAGGTTGGGACTGATATACTAGAAAGATGTGGTTAACACTTTAAACGCCATTTTATTTGATGTTTTTACAAGCAGTCTAAAAGGTGGGTATTGTTACCCATAGACAGAAGAGAAAACTTGAACAGAAATTAAGGTAGGACACTGAGTAACACTGGATCTGGTCTCAGGCAGTCTCCACAGCAGAACTGCACAGACTCAGCTTTCACAACTTAACATCTGAACATGAACTACAGAAGTTTCTTGTCATTGAGAGAGATCTGTGTTCTTTTGTTATTGTTGTTGTTTGTTTTGTTTTGTTTTTTGGTGGAGGTGGTAGTAGGTTTTTTTTGCTGGTGATGGTTATTTTTTTAAACTCTGCCATTATGTGTAGTGGAACAGAGTAGTATCACCAACACAGAAGAAAGGTAATTACTCTAAGTTCAAGGTAGGCTAGTCCACTCAAAGCGTTTAGGCTAGCCTGGGCTATGCATAAGATGCTGTTTCCAAAGACCAAAAGAAACTCTAGGCACTGTGAACCAATATAACATGTAACCTTCTGTAAGTAGACGTACTTATTTCAGAGACAGTAAAATTGTTGGAAAAATTAAAAATTCCATGAAGTATAAAATGCATTTCAGTTCATTGTCAGTCTTTAAAAACACACCTCGTACAAAATTTCTCATTTCAAATACATCCCAACCAGCTAGTTTGGAATTACAAGCAGAAATTTTTAATGGTAATTTACAGTTTCAAATGCATTGTAACCTCTGCTTCATGGTAACCCATGTTATCACATGAATCCTCAAATCCAACTCAAGGAAAAACGCTTTGGAGATTTTCATAACTTTGAAGACATTCTTCTTCCTTAGTATCTAGACTATTAAAAGAAACTTCTGACCGCCAATACCTTACCCCACATTCAAAATGTCTCTGTTTCAGCCTCCAAGTCCTCAAAAATAACTGTAACACACACACACACACACACACACACACACACACACATCATCTTTTGCTACTCGAAAGCTTTCCAGATAGGATGACCCAACTCTAAATCATTTTATAGTATTTGTAAAGATTCAAACTATCTAGGTTGTTTCCAGCTTCTGGCTATTATGAACAAAGCTGCTATGAACACGGTTGAGCAAAGTCCTTGTTTGTATAGTTAAGTATGATTTGGATATATGCCTAGGAGTGAGTGGTATAGCAGGATCTTGAGATAGCACTATTCCTAATTGTCTGAGAAAGCACCAGATTGATTTGCAAAATGGTTGTACAAGTTTACATCCTCACCAGCAATGGAAGAGGGTTCCTCTTTCCTTTCTTCACAACCTCTCCAGCATGTGTTGTCACTTGAGTTTTTGATCTTAGCCATTCTGATAGGTGTATGGTGAAATCTCAGGGTCGTTTTGATTTGCATTTCCCTGATGACTAAGGATGTTGAGCATTTCTTTAAGTGTTTTTCTGCCATTCAATATTCCTCTATTGAGAATTCTCTGTTTAGCTCTGTACTCCATTTTTAATTGGATTACTTGGTTTGTTGGTGTTTAACTTCTTTATATATTCTGGATATTAGCCATCTGTCAGATATAGGGTTGGTGAAGATACTTTTCCAATATGTAGGCTGTAG